TTCTCGGAAAGACCAGACAGGTATGCATCCAGTGTGCGTCATGAGGGTTTTAACGACCGGTTCAATCGGTTTTTATTGCGTGTTCTTCCACGGTTTCGTTGTCCGACTCACGAAAAATCGCGAGATCGCGAATTAAGTACACATCCGTTTGCTTTCGACTAAACGAAGATTAAACGGATAATCAATAGCTCATTAACAATTCCTAATAAAATATATAATATAATAATAATCTTCATTTTTATTAATTGAGATTCAATGAGATAAACCGATTTCCCGAGAAAAATCAATGATTCATGAACAATTCGTACTAAAATTACATCCATTTCCATTATAATTAATTAAATTTAATAGAGTAATGACTAATGAGGTGGGCTTTAATTACTCCCTAATGTTGAATGAAACCTCCGAAAAATGATGTACCACCGTTGACGCCCCAGACGTTAGCATTCCAAACATTGAAACTCCGTTTTCCGGTTTCTGTGCTGAAACTTTGAAATTGGTTTACGCCACTTGTTTTACCTATTCCGTTTGCAAAGCTATGACCCGAAATTCTCATTGCCCATTCCATCACCAAAGCACTAACCTTGTATCTCGGAAAAGCCCCCCACAACCATGTGCCATAAGCTGACTCCATGCAACTATTGCGTCGACCTGTTGCGCTTCATTCATTTTAGTACTGATTCACTACCTGACCCTCTACAATCTCACCCCCCCATGTACCTCCCTCACCCGGAGTATTCTTGGTCCCTTTGGATGACGCGTTTAACCCACCCCGGAAACTGCGAAACTTTTCGATACTAACGGCTTGACGGTTTCCCTCCTTTCACGTCGTAAAACCGACGAGACACCGACAACGACTCTTTCATGACTGTCCCCAAGTCACACTTTTTTTTTTAAAACTCAATGGAAATAAAAAAAAATCATCCAACCGTCTGCCGGAAATACGAGGAATTTTTCCCCTCTCCCCCTTTTACCCCTTTCCCTTTTTTTTTTTTATTGTTTCGGGTTGATGATGCGGACGATGGGGTGAGGGCAAATCGAGGGGATGATGCTCCCGACACCGGTGATTTTCAGGGGCAACAGGTGTACACGATATATGCATAATGCAAACACACGCGTTCAACTGCGTTTGCCAATTTTTTTTTTTATTCCTCTCTTTTTCGTTTATCCACACCTCGTTTTATCACGAGTGATAAATTCCGTCTCGTCTGGGCTATCATTTTTTTACTTCCATAATTTTTTCATTACAATAGTCAAATTACAAATTGATTTACCGATCTCAATTTTTATTCCCGGGTTTAATTGATTTTAAAAAAATTGAACATCAATTTAAATAAAAAATAATGATATTCAAGTGGATATTAATAGCCCAGGGGATGACGATCATCCCCTGGGGAACCCCACGGGAATAAACTACGACGCGTGCCGCAAGACGCAAGACGCCAGGATAATTAAAACTTTTCTGTGTAAAGATAGTTTGGCCCAGCGCCATCACAATTCATGGGTCATGTTACCCTCTCCCCCTTCCACCCCTTCCACCTCTTCCACCCCTTCCACCCCTTCCGCCCCTTCCACCTCTTCCACCTCTTCCACCCCTTTCCACCCCCTCACCATGAAACCATTAAAATCCCTGTCCCATGTCCCATGTCCCACCACAACTCGAATTTTCTCCTGCAATAAAAAAAGGTACTTCCTCAAAAACCAATTGCCCCCTATCTACCACCCCCCTCCACCTCAAACACTCAACTTTCTTCATCACCTGCAGAAAAAGCTTCATTCCATGATTTTTCCACTGAAGAGAGAGTTTATAATTAACCTCCATAGAAAATTTATGAAAGTGGTCAGTAACGTTCATCCACCAACACGTCGTTATCCTGGAATTAATGATTTTCATTTTTCCATCAATCTATTGATCCAGAGAGAGAGAGGAAGAGAGAGAGGAAAAGAGAGAGGAAGAGAGAGAGAAATAGAGAGAGGAAGAGAGAGAGAAATAGAGAGAGAAAGAGAGAGAGAAATAGAGAGAGGAAGAGAGAGTGAGAGAGAGAGGAAAAAAGTTTAGTGATTGAGGCATGAGGTGCGTGCGATGAGAGGCATCCTGGCGACTGGAGGTGGAGATATAAAAAAAAAAAGGGAAAACATGAGAAATAAAATTTGTACGAAGTGAAAAGAGGCGATGGACGATGGCAGTGAGCTTGACCGAGTGGCGCTTGGCGAGGCCGGCCGACGCCCTTCCTCACTCCTCCCCCAGGTCCTCCTTTTCTCCTCTTTTACTTTGAGATTCCCCCCTCCCCCCTTCTCTACCATTCCTTGTGCCCCCTCGTTTGCCTTTTTTACGGAACTTGGTGCTGCCGTTGTGTACCATCTCCCGTTTATTTTTCCTCTCCATTTTTTAACCCCCTGGTTCTTTTAATATTTTTCTTTTTGCTCCCTCCTGAGCAAAACCAGCATCACTTTTTACCTCTTTTTTTTTTTTCTTCTTCTCCCCTCTTATTCGTCGTTTTTATTTTTTTTTTTTTTTATTTTTACATCTCCCCGATTTTTCGTCTCGTTCTAGCTGCAGAGGATACACTCCCTTGGCTGCGCGCGGTACCACACCTGCATAGATTTTTCTATTCGCGATCACCGAGAGTATCCAGGCAGCTGTGCCCGCCCCAACTCTGAGTTCCTCTCTTCGCCATCCTCTCGTACCTCTTGTACCTCTCGTTTTGGGGAGGGGAATGAATTTCTCTCTCAGTTGGTGTAGCCGTGCATCCCGATGCTAATACTCGCCCGAGGCGCCCTCCACTTCCCCCTTTTTCTCCCCCCCCCTTTTCCTCTCCCTTTTCCCCTTTAACCCCTGATCCTCCTCATTCTTCCCCCTGTCCATCCCCCTTTTTCCCTCGCGCCTCTCCCCATTCCCTCCCTCTTTCCGCTCACTGTGCACTATTCAACTGGCCGCTCCTTCCTTTTTTTTTCTCTCGCGCTTCTGGAAAATTGAGAAAAAAAAACGAGACAAAAAATTCTGACACGATAATCGAATGCATCGGGGATGGAAAAAACTTTAGCAAATCGCTGTTTCGGGGATTTTCCCGGAGTTTTTTTTTTTTTTCGTTTTTAGATAAACGGGAAAAGTGGGAATAAGTGAATTGTACGGTCTTGGATGTCAATAGGAGATTTTTTTTTTTATGGGGAAATCTTTGGGAAATTCTCGATGGAGTATTGATTACGGAATTTTAATGGAGATTTTTTATTTTTTGGGGAATTGGAAAAATTTTTATTGGGTGGTTGGATTTGAGGAATTCGGGATTCAAATTAACCGCGTTAGGGCTGTCTGGGGAGGAAACGAGATTTTCGAGATATCGATATTGAAATGGCGATTTTTTACGGTTTTGGGATTGGGTGGGCCGTCGTCAGGGGTCAGGGATTCATGACGAATCAACAGGCGTCGGACTTTCGCCCTTTAAATTCTGTCGATTTTCTAGAAATCGAAATAATTCCAGAAAAATCATTTCGCTCAGAAATAAAAATTTTTTAATATCAGAAAGATAAATCGGCGAATTAATTCCAAAAATTTCATTTCCGAAAAATAAATCGGCGAATTAAATCCCAAAAATGTCATTTCCAAAAAATGAATCGATGAATTAATTCCAAAAATTTCATTTCCGAAAAATAAATTGGCGAATTAATCGTAGAAATTAATTCTCCCAAAAATAACTCGGCGAATTAAATCCCAAAAATTTTGATTTCCAAAAAATAAATCGGGGAATCAATCCCCAAAATTTAATCCCCAAAAAATAAATCGTCAAATGAATTCCAAAATTTCATCTCCGCGAAATAAATCATCGAATTAATCCCAAAAGTTAAATCTCCGCAAACTAAATCAGTGGATTCCCCCCAAAAACGTAATCCCCAAAATATAAATCGGCGAATGAATTCCAAAATCGTAATTTCCAAAAAAAAAACCGTCTCACATGAAACCAAAAATTATCAGATGATGAGTGAAACGTGCACGTGTCTGAACGAAACTTCTCATGCAGCTAAAGTCATTAGAGAGGGTTAAGAAGAGAAAGAGAGAGAAAGAGAGAGAAGGAGTTCCGGTCATTACAGCCCCATACGAAATGGGAAAATACCAGAATTACTATTTCGTTTAACTCCCGGCCATGAACGAGGGCAGAGAGAGGACTTGAACATCTGCAGCAGAATTATATCTATATATATAGCGTTAGATGACGGATGGGGACAGTTGTTGCATCTTGCACTGCTCCCCAGAATATCTTTTCCCCTCCGCGAGATGCCCCCGCGGCTGACCGTCTCGCGCCACCCCTCCCACCTCCCCTCCATCCACAATCTTTTTATTTCTCCCCAACTCCTTCGTCTTCTTCTCCCATCGGCTTATCTACCATCATCTCCTTCCCCAGTAGTGAATATCTACCCTGACTTTGTAGACTAATTATAAATCCCAACATCAATTTTTTATCTCCCCAATTTCCCAAAAATTCTCCGCCCCTGATGGGGTGAATCAATATAAATTATTTAAACATTAACCCTAATTAATTTTAAATCTTAACATCAATTCCACTCTGTATTAACGGATAAATAATGCATTAATTATTTACATTTTTAATAAATAATATAAATGATACGAAAAAAGTTGTTGAAATTCAAATGCTTGAACTGGATTAAAAAATGGAATAAAAAAAATCATTGAATACCGATGAATTGATCTCATCAGATCCCTGACGGATTTATCGATCCGATAAATAATGAGGCGAGTGGTGAAAAAATTTATTGAAAAATAATCTAGGTGATATGAAAATCCAGCAGCCGGATTGGATAGGTAAAAGTGAGTCGATGGACTTCCGAGTCTCCGGCGCTCCTAAATCTAACGGCTTTGTCGTTTTTATCGAATTTATCCGGAGGGGAATGCCTTGGCCAATGAACCCCCCACCACGTGCAAACGAATAAAAAAAAAAAAAATTCATTTCAATGTAGCAATTAGAAAAAAAGAAGAAAATTCTCACCGTCAGTGTAAAAATAAATAGTGAATGCCAGGAGCACTCGCTTGAGATGTTCCCCTGGGCTTCCGTTAGACTGAGTTTTCAACTCAGGAATAGGTGGAGTCTGTGATTGGCCGTGGGGATGGTGTACCCAGAGTGCCAACCGGTTCTTCCACCGAGTTCTCCGCGCTAAAAAATAATCCACCATTATTTATTCTTTTTTTTAACGCCCTGCCTACATCCAGATCCGCGGGATTCTAATGGAGCTTCATTCAGATACATGTTCAGAAAAATTGGAGGGGGGAGGAGGAGGAGGGGTGGAGGGGTTGAGAGGTAGATGGAGGAAGAGGAAAAACACGATAGGTAGCAATTGATGATAAATAATACAAAAAAGTATCGAGAAAATCGATCGGAAAGGGGCGGTTGAAATTCATCACGATATTTTGCACTTTGAGCACCTGAAAATCTCGTAATCTCACAGATGACTCTTTTCCGCTCTCAATATTATAGTTTTTCCCTGTAGGAAGTGTCTCGTAATCTAACTACACTCGATATCCCGTCGTTAAAACCTGTTCAACGGATAAATAAACGAGTGATTGACACTCGTATGAAAAAAAATCAATCAACAAAATGATTTATCGTTAAAGTACAAAGCGATCGGTCAGTTTTATCGGGATAATTAATTCCCTCAGTACCAAAAATCACTGGCCAATCGATGAGTAGATATTTAAACCTTGCGTGTCAGTCCCATCTCTGGGACCGATGCACTTCCACGCCCATACACCTTTCGCAATTATCCACACGAATACCCAGCACACCATCTCCAAGGAAAAATCATTTCTATTTTCCTTCTCCAATCACCAACCCAATTTTAATTATCTGTCCTCTCTCGGTTGCTCATCAAACCGCTACGAAAATAACATTTTTGTTATCATTCAATTTCCCTTTTATTTTTCCCAGGGAGTTGGAAAAACTCGGGGTTACCGTGTGTTTTCCTTGTTTTTCCAAACGGTCTTCACGAATTTTTCCGTTTATTCTCTCCGCCTATCTATCGCTCCCATTTCTCCTGTTTTCATTTTATTTTTTTCACTCCCTCTTTCCTTTATTTTTCGGTTTTTGCTAGAGCGATATAACGGAGCCACTGGTGCCATTCCCTGTTTTCTTTTCCCGAGTCAATTGCCTTGGGTCCAATAGCGCGTCGCTCTGACGATCATCCGCCCAGCTTTTTGCTACTCACAGGCTAGTCCAACACTCTTTCTCTCTTCTCTCTCCTCTCTCCTCTTTTCTCTGCCCCCTCTGTGTCCGTGGTCAAGGCTGATGGAGCGATGGAGATAGGCTACTCCCTGGAGGAACGACGAGGCAATAACTGAGAGCACAAAGGCGTCGGGACTAATTTCATTTTTTTTTTTCTCCAATTTTTTTCATCATCTCGATATTCCAGTGCATTAATATATTCTGAAAATACCTGGTGGGGTGGGT